AAAAAAGCCTTTTATTTCTCAAAGAGGCAAGTTTTAGAGTTTGCTCAGTGTGCACCATGGAGCCAGTAATCATTAGCATTTCTTTTAATAGATATCTGCACTCTCAGCAGACAAAGAACTCACCAGGGCAACATGTACTGACTCAGAACACAGCCCCAGCCTGGACCAAGAGGACAGATGGAGGGACAGTGCCTCCCTGGATGCAGGGGAAGACCTGAATCTCAGGCCAGAGTCTTTTTACAAGGCCACCAGTGAGGCACAAGGAGGCCAAGACAGAGAGAAACTATGGGCTGGGTCCTTGACACGTCCTCTGGAGTCCCATCCTCATTTATGTAAACTTCACCAAGAAATGGAGCCACCAATATTGGCTACCTCATTGGAAAATGATCTGAGGCAAAATTGCTATTCTGTGTGTGATATCAGGAGACTTGGAAGGTAAGACTAATGACATTTACAGACATTTTGTAAATTGCATGCATTTCATTATAATCAAGCAATCAGTAACTAGGCTCAGATGCTTATTGTGTCCAGTATTGTTCTAGACATTTGGAAGGGAAGCAGAAAGAAGAGGAGCATAGTTTTTGTAACCACAGCTTGTGAGATTTGGGGGAAGCAACCTACTTAGACCAAGATTGTCCCCAGTATGTCCTGAAGAACACAGAAGGCAGCCTCGGGTTTTCACAAAACTTTGTCCTATACCATTAATGGCCTTTTAAAGCCTCTAATAGTGGTAAGAAATTCTTGCAATATAATTTTTTATTATCCACACCACCTTTAAAAAATACATCTATATCTTCACAGAGTGAAATTTTCATGTTAACAGTCATTTTTGTTCCTATCCATCTGTAAATATTTCTAGTTTACTACTGTTCTCATGAAACACACATCTTTAGTTAGATAATTATTTATTATATGCCCAAAGTTCTAGGGAACTTGCTAGGAGCAGAGAGTGGAGTACAAATGTAAGGGGGCAGTTACTGCTTCTACGTGTTTGCCAACTTAATGCCTATGCACCCAACAGACAAATAGCAAAGAGCAGTAGTTTGTGTTTGACAATATATAAATGCATTGAGATTAAATTGCTCTAATTTATGGTCATCCTAGACGAGAGACATGAGTAGATAAATAGGACTATCTGCTGATATGAAGAATAGCCAGCCCTTCATATGTGTGGGTTCTGCATTGTGGATTCAACCAACTATAGATTGCAAATATTTGTAAAAATTGCATTTGTACTGAAAATACACAGATTTTTTTTTTTGGTCTTTATTCCTTAAACAGTATGGTTGCAGCTATTTACATAACATTTCCACTGAGTTAGGTATTATGAACAATCTAGAGATGATTTAAGTATGTGGAAGGATGTGTAGGCTATACACAGATATCTACTACATTTTGTATAAGGGGCTCCAACATCAGGGGATTTGGGCATCTGATGGGGGGGGGTGACGCTCTGAAACCAACCCCCTATGTATATTGAGGCTCCACTGTATGAAGCAGCAATAAGCATACAATTAAGCCTTATGAGAGATGTGACAAACAGGGTCCAGGCACACATTCCCTCAAAGCAACCTGATGCAATCTTTTAAAGAACAGTGTATCAGCCAAACAAAACCTAACTAGCTTGCAAAGTAGAACAGGGTGGGCAAGCACATTAATCAGTGATACTAGTTTCAATTGTTTGATAATGAACATATAAACCCATGTGTATTTACAGTTCCTTACAATTGCTTTCTAGGCAGTAATTGATATACTTGATAAAATCATAAAAAGAATAACCTATGGAGATATATCCAAGGACAATCATTAACATGCTCTTGTAGGACACATAAGAATTCTACCTCCTATAGGCATGGGGCTACTATTTTGAATTATTAAAAATCTTATATCCAGATAATTTGGGGTGATAAACCCTGTCATCTGGTTTCTAAAGTAGTTCTGGATTTACATGCAAGCCCAGACATAGAATTACCATGTACCCTTAATCCAATATAGTTGATAGTTACTAAAAATGCTATTTTCAAACTAATTACTAGGTAAACAGTCAATACTTCATTCACAGTGTCATAGAATATCAGATTGTTCCATATAAAGATGATCTAACCTAAACTAATTTTCCTTGCTAGAATCTGTTCTATAACACTCCACAAGAATGGGACCCAGCTTTTGTTTGAATATCTCCAGGAATGCAGAACTGGTTACCTCTTGAAGTGACCCATTTGAATATCATGAAGTTGTTGATCACAAAGTGCTTCATTTTATCAAGATGAATCTATTTCTTTATTTCTTCTACTTGAAAATTCTGACACTCATCTCCTTTTATCCTTTTCTCATTAATTTAATTTATTTTTTGCAAGAAACATATTATTTTGTTTTTCTGATTAAATTTGGCTTTCTGTCTCTGCTTACAAGGGCATACCAGATGTCCAAAATCTGTCATTCTTAGAGGGGGTTGCCTTTTTAGAATCACACAAGAGTCCCAAATGCTTGTCCAGAGTGTTCTAGTAGAGCCTCTGCACTCACTTGGTTTCCACCCTTTGCTGATTGCTCTGGCCCACGTGGTCCACACAGCCATGGCAGGCAGCCTCAGTGTTGTCGGCACTGCTTCCTCCGTAGCCCTCACCTTCTCCTTGCACTTGCCTCTTGGTGATGGTTCTGGCTTTATTTTTTTTTTATTTTCGTTCTCCCCCCCCCCAGGAAACTTTTCTCCTCTCTGAAAGAAAAACTCAAATCATGACAGCTTTTCCTCCAACAGTACATTAGCTCACATTTAGTGCACAAATAGCTAGTGACTGCCCCCTACCGGAATGAAAGTGTGGCACAAGCCCAGCAATCACAAGGCAGTTCTTTCAACTCCTGAGAAGGATGGGAATTAAAAATTCCAAAATAAAATTGTGATTCTTTGTGGATCCACTTAGAAATATCTTCAGTTTTGATGTGGCTGTGCCAGGCCAACTGCCTCTTTGTCTCTGATATCTATGGGTCAAATTTTCTGCAGTTTACAACAAAAAAAAAGCATGAACTTCTAGATCACATATCTTGGTTTTAGTTTTACTACTTACTAGTGTGCCTGGAGAGGTGACGGCCCTGAGCTGGAGGCGTCCCTGTTATGAACAAAGATCACAACCATTGCACAGGACATGTGCAGATCAAAAGAAATCACACATCACAGTACTTGGCACAGAGTAGGGACTCAGCACAAGTCTGTATTCTTACCCTTTCCTGGGCTATTTCTAACTAAAGGACAGGTCTTGTAAATTGAAATTTCCTACAAACTGCCAGAACTTACCATCTGTTGGTTGGCTACTTCTTAACCCCAGATGCCTTCCAGCACCCCAGAAAACTCAGAATGTCACAGAAAAGATTAGATTTCATTTTTCCTTCTTTGTTCTCTTCATTCTGTGTTCAGAGATTTTTATCATGTAGTCATGGATCTTTGTAAGCACAACATCAGAAAGAAGTGCAGTTCATTTTCACAGAGGATTGTAGGGATTCTGTGCCTATTAGGGGCAGGGCTTGGCTGGGGAAGCATTTGCATCTTTTAAAAAAATTGTTCTAATTAGTTATACATGACAATAGAATGCATTTTGACATATAGTACACAAATGGAACACAACTTCTCATTCCTTTGTCTGTACATGGTGCAGAATCACTCCAGTAGTGTAATCATACATGTGTATAAGGTAATCATGTCTGTCTCATTCTACTGTCCTTTCCATCCCCACAGTCCCACCCCTCCCCTCACACATCTGCATATTATTCAGGGTTAGTTTCTAAGGTTTGGACATAAGGTGAAAATCACATTAAGTTATTTTGCCCTTGAATATCACTTTGGAAGATATGATGTTATGTGCTTCCTTAGTGTGGGAGCAGAACACTTCTTTGTTTGAGCCCCAATGCAGTCTGGAGGCTTGCATCTGTGGGCCATACTCTATGCGGATTATGTATCTTCAAATCGTGGCCTATAGGAACTGAGACTGAACCTCGGACATGGAGGTTTCCCTTCTCCAACTCAATGTGTACTTTAGGGCTTACACTCATTGGGTGAGGAGTTAGACACAGCAAAATGTTTGAGGTTCTCTCTTTCTCTCTCTTTCCTCCCTCTCTCATGTAGCACATGTAGTTGAATTGATGTAAGTGAAATGCATGTAAGTTGAGCAAATGCCATTTTGTAAAATAATAAATTTTTATGGCCATTTAAGAAGCAAAAAAGAAAAAAAATGCTAGGTACAGTGGTATATACCTCTGATCCCAGAAAATTGGAAGGCAGAGGCAGGAGGATAATAAGTTTGAGGCCAACTTTGTCAACTTAGTGAGACTCTGTGTCTAAATGAATAAAGGCCTGGAGATATAGCTCATTTGTGGAGCACCCCTGAATTCAGTCCCCAGTATTGCTAAATGAATGAATGAATGAAATGCAAAATAAAGCAGAAGTCCTTGAAATGAACCCAAAGTGACTCTACAATGCCTTCTGTGAGAGGGCACTGCTCTTGGAATAGTAAAGAATAATTAGCAGGCTCAAGGAGCTGCCAGGCCAGCTGTGACAAGAGTAGCTTTTGGGGGATGAATCAGCCAATGAACAGAACAGGGCTATCATGCCTACTCTGTGATTGAGGGGAGTGAGTGAGGCACAAGCCCCGCTAGGACCAGCAGTAGTCTAACAGAGTGGAGCCCACAGCAGGCTCTCAGCACTTACAAGACCCCCTCCCACCAAGACATATTTCTCTGTCAACTCCAAAATATTGATCTCCGTCTCAAATTTATCATTTGAGCTTCAAATATAGCACTCCATTATACCTCTCTACTTGATGTCTTAGAGACATTGCAAACCTGACCTGCCAAATGTTAAAGGAGCAAAGACCCAGAGCATCACTAGGGCTAACAGGACATGCGGATGCGAATCAGGCCCAATACTGGAAAGCTAGAGAAAAAGCGAGAGAAAAGGCTGAAGTTTACATGAAGAGACACAAAATTTAACTTTTTGTAAGATTAACCACAGGTAAATAGAACAATTATATTGTAATAGCTTCTTATTTCAAATCTGAAATGCTATCTTCTAATTTGTCTTCCTCAAAGATGGAGATGATTTTGGTAATCCAGATCTTTGAAGAACATCATCTGTCTATGGAAACTGGGCTTGGTGTCTTATCTCTGCAAATAACCTATCATGAGCTGAATCTCCAGAATAATTTAACTGACCTCAGAGCTATATTAGGGTTCTTATTCACAGAAATAGCTGCTAAAGAGCTGCAGGATTTTGGTGGGACTCTCCTTGCATGGAAGAGAGATGGTTGGGCAGAGGGAGACCAGGGTGGATCTCCAGATCTTCTTTTAGGTACCATGTATCTATCAAAGACTCCTTTTGGATAGCTTGGTAGACAGGAACAAAGGTAGGAGCACTCAAATTCACTAAATATACCTGGGGGTGAGCAGAGAACTCTGAACACATTGACCCCTTCCGTTGCTTCATGGGAGTCCTGCTACATTCTCCCTGGAGGTCTTAAACTGGCTTCAGGCCCCAATGAAGAACTCTGACCCTGTACCTGGTCTGTCCACCTGCCAAAACACCTGGCCTTGCTCTACTGTCTTTATCAAATTCCTCAGATCTCCAAGTCTTGCCCTTTCTAAGCAATAGGCTCCGCCTTGGGGCACACACCAGCCTTTTTGTGCCTCTTCTTTCCTTGTTCACCCTTTCCCATGCCCATGGTGGAGTTCAAGGTCAGATCTGCAAGAGTAGCTTGAGTGTGTGCAGAAGAGTGGAAGCAATGGCTGTATTTCTTCATAACTTACAGTGGAATGAGGACTAGGATCTCTCCATGGGGAACACCAAGTCCTATCTGGAAAGGTTGGTAGCCTTCTAGGTCTATGTCTAGGCAGGATCAGAAGCTGGAGCCTCAAATCAAAGCTAGACTCCTTATCAGAAGGGTTAGAACAAGAAAGGTGGTAAAGGTGTGGTATGGACTTTCAGAAGGCTCTAATGGCTGGTGGGCAGCAGCTTCATGCCCCCTCAAGGTGGGGAGTTTGGCCTGGGCCAGCATGGGCAGTGGTCTAATTTTCCTGGATGTTCTTATGTTTATATGTGATTCGGACTACTGTTTTTAAGTTTTGAAAACATTTTTTTTCCTCCACACATTCAGCAATTTTTACTTTTCTTCCTCATCCTACCCTCCAGCACTTTTTTTTTTTTTCTAGCCAGGCATACTCTTGTAATCCCAGCAACTAGAGAGGCTGAGGCAGGAGGATCCCAAGTTTGAGGCCAGCCTCAGCAACTTAGGGGAGACCTCTCTCAAAAATAAAGCAGATTGGGGATGTAGTTCATTGGTAAAGGGACCCAGGGGTTTAATCCCTAGTACCAAAACAAAAAGAAAATGAAAGCTTTTGGTCCCCTTGAAAATGAACGTTTCTCTTTAGTCTGTGCAAAATACGGTTTCTTTTCTATATACACAAGTGTGCATGCATTTACATGGAATTCACTGCCGCACATGCCCTGTAGCTTCTATGAGCAGAAATGATGTCCTTTTCACAGCAAAATCAGGTTGTGACAGACGTTTTCTGGGTGTTCGGGATTTGTAGCCATTGGTAAGTGCTTCAGCTGATTTTAAGAGAGTCAATGTGGGAAACGAGAAGGGAGGGAAGGGACATATAACAAAGCCAACCTATTGGGGAAGGAGGCTGAGAAAAGAGGATCTGTGTACTTGGTGAAACAAATTAACAAACAAATTAAATCTCTATGCTTTTCTCTTAGATTTTCCTTCTCATCCTCTCTAACCAGACTTGCAACAGATATTCTCTGAGCACCTTCTCTGCATGTCTGCAGTGCTGTGCAAAGTTCCCTGCTGCCTGCCTGGACTGTTCTTTCTAATCATGGCATGTGTGGCAATGTTGGGGTAGTCCCTGGAAGGCTCATTCTTTCACCGTTGAGTCTGCAACATCAGATAATGAGTTTTACTGTTCTTCTGCTTCCTATGTCCTTCTAAGACAGGGAGTGAATGTCACTCCAGCTGGCTGCCTCTTGAAATAGGCACTTTTATTCAGCAGTCAGAAAAGGACCTCATATATGCAGAAAGTGCTTTGAAGTTCCCCTGCTTGAGTCACTCCCAGTCTCCTTTGTTGGCTCTTCCATGTAATCCCTCTGCTGAAATCATAATCATCATAATAGTTGTAATGATAGCATCTTTGACTGAAAACTCACCCTGTGCCAGGATCCATGGAAGATATATACCAGAATTATTTAATTTAAGCATCCTAACAATCCTATAAATTTGTTGACTTTCCAGTTTTTGCAATGAGAATATTAAAGTTCCAGAGAAAGTAATAAACTCTGTTTACCGTGTGAAAAGTTGATCCTAGAACTGAGTCATAGTGCTGCTCTCAATGCTCTGCCCTCTGTCAAGTCCCGTGTGGCCTTCGGGGCTTGGTAACCTGTCCCCGGCTCATGAAACACTCTCAGCTGCTTCTACCATTGCACTTACTATGCAGACTGTATCATTTATTGGCTGCTCTTTGGTCTTAAACTGATGCTACTCCAGCACAGGTGCCATGCCTCATTCTGTGATTGCTTTCTGGTGCCCAGAGCAGTCTCCTGCAGGAGCTGTTTGAAGTCTAGCTGGGTCTCATGGGGCACATCATGGTGCGCTTCCTGCAAGGAAGAGGAAGCAGGGTGAGGAGTTTCTGAGACTGGAAGGACACACATTTCTGTTTTCTAGTCCTGAACTGGATAGAGATGATGAGGAATGTGACGTACATTATCCACCTGAAAGCCCTTCCCCCACCTCGGAGGATGAAGAGTACCTGACGATCAACTCTGTATTCGAAGACGAGCTGCCCTGTGCAGACTGTCTGGAGGCAGATTCAGGGACCATTCCCTTGCCACAGTTCTGTTCTTGGGGCCCTCTCCCAGAGCCTTTGCTTCTGGAAGGGTCCCATGAGAGTGACAGTGAATGGGAAGACCTGGAAGAGCCTGTGGATACAGATGATGGTAGCCTCAGGTGGGTATCAAGCTCTCTCTGGGTGGGATGGGGCTGAACTCTTCCCATGGGGCTCAGTATTTTCAATCCACTTGGGCCAGAATAATGGTCCATGGCATTACCAGGTCCCTCCATCATCCACTGGGGGTTTGTCTTGGCATCTATTTTCATTAAGTGTTTCCTACAGTCCTTGTTCCATGAAAGACCTACCAGACAGGGACTGCCATCATATTCATTTTACACAGGACATTTGGGGCTTCTCCAAGGTCAAATGGTGAGTAAATGACAGAGTCAGGCCTGGTCTCCCCTCTAAGGCTATGGGTTGAGAGCTTTCTGTGCTGCCTCCAGCATATCACTTGGGCCTCTCTCTTTCTGGGGGTTACATGTCAAGGGCCAATTCCTATCTTGTCTCCTCCTGCCTGCCTCTGGCTTAGATGTATTTCAGAAAACAGTTTTGCTGTCACATAATGGGGCTCTTCTTGTTAAGCTGCTGTGACTGGTTATAGGTTAAAATCAAAAAAGTTTATTAATGCAAGGATGCCCTAGGAGCTGGGACAGGGTTACCAAGCTGGGGTTGGAGCATATGATGAAAAAGAGGCAGGAATAAGTGTAACACAAACCATCAGACTGGGCGGAGAGGAGGTTACATTTTTGACAGGTGGATAAACATCCCAACATTCTGATAAAGTATATATAATGTGTGCACTTCCAGTGTAAAAAGATGCTGAATATTCAAGAGACTTTCACATAAACCTATTTCTAAGGCATATTGAAATTGACCAAGGCATTAGTTTCTAAAGATTCTGGTATAACTGAAACACACTCATTTTCTTTCATCCCATTGTGTCCCAGCCACATTTCCCTCCCTGGCTATATAAAAGGAAGTTGGGCCACCACAAATGATTGAACTGGATTCTCAGAGGAGAGTGGCAGGCAAGCTGATAAGGGTGGATATTTGAAATTCAAATATGATGATAGAAGTGTTGGTTCTTATCTGAAATAGGAAGCAACACATTAATAGAGGGGATGATGCCGAGGCTTTGAAGGCAGTGCACAGGCATTTGTGGGAAGTTGGAAACCTTATCAGGGTAGGAAGGCATATTATGGATTCACAAAAGTGTGGAGCAAGCAGGGAGCAGCTTATATGTAGAAAGCAAACTTCCTGGAGGGGCTCCTTGAAGTTTGGGAGCTAAAGGAAGGAGGCTGAGCAATCTTTGGGCCCCACAGGGAAGCAACTAAAGACCACAAATATCAGTGCTTATGAAAGGTCCTACCAAGATCTGCAGGCAGCAGAGAGCGGAACAGTGAGGACAGGACGTTGAAGAATGGGTTCAGGTTTGCACTATTAGATCCTGTAGCAAATGATTTTTAAACTAATATGCAGCTGACCACCAAATGGAGATAACCAAACCCACTTCATTCTGTTATTGTGGGTGAGGTGACAATGCATGCCACTTGTTTAGTAGTAATACTCAGGAAGTATTAGCTATTTTTATCATAAATGTAAAGGGGAAACTATTTCAGTGAGATTATGTAGCCCTCTGAATGCATCCAATTCTGTTGCTTTTCTCCACGGAGACAAAGGAATTAGGCATGCAGACTTGTGCCCTAACATGAGGTGTGGGGTAGGTGGGGGAAAGTACCCATCTAGGAAGTACCCATCTAGGGCAAGTGTGTCAGGATCTAGGTGGACTGACTAGTCCTCAGCTGTGAAAGGTGGATTGGGATGTCGTTAGGATGAGTACTGTCATAATCTCTTATCCTGCACAAAAACAGAGAGCAATTTTCACCCTCATCCCCTGCCATGCTAATAGAGGGTGGTGTGCAGGCATTGAATGCTCAAAGCATGAGCTCTAGGCCTGGGATTTAAGGAGTGGCCTGTTTGCTTCTTGGCACTCAGAGCTCCCGTCCCCATCTAAACTTCTAAATATTCTTTGTATTTCCTAAGAGGTCTCTAACCCCCCAAACTTTAAGGCTGTATACACTTGTTTGTCCTGGAAGTGAGGAGACATCTTGGACAATGTAGAGAGGACTTTGCTTATGGATGGAGTAGTGTATCCTTTAAACCTGTATCTGAAATTATTTTGTTTGATCCTTTTAGACATTTAGACAATAATAATAGAAAACTAGTGTGATAATGTAATTTTCCCATCAATTTTGAATGGTATTTTTATTTCTCTTTTACAATGGGCTTAGAACACTTATTTAATTCGTCTAAGATCATATAGCAAGGAGAGATGAATTCACACTGGTGTATTTTAAAATTTCCTCTAGAATAGGTGTTTCCATGTGAATTTATATAATATTTATGTCTCTCCACCAAGTGGCACAAAGGTTACTTTTTTTCTTACAAAGTATTTCTCTTTTGTGAGGCTAAAAACAATAATAACAAAAAACCCCAAATAAATCCAAATGCCCTAACCAATCAGATTTCAGGAAGGCTGCTGGCCAAATAATGGAGTCACCCATTAAAAGCTGCTTGTCATTTTAGGTGAATATAGAGAATGATACAGTCTCCTGAGACAGAAACTGAGGTCTGCGAGGACATCCTTTGACAGAAGAGCCCACAGATGATGGTGGTCCACAAAACATACCTACAGGCTCTGCCACCAGGGAAGAAGCCTGTGGTTCCTGGTCCCTGAGAGGACAACCTAGGGTGGAGCACCTGGCCCAGTTGTTAAGAGCTCACTTTAAAAACATCATGCCTATCATTTCCAAGACTCATTTTGAACACTCTGGGATTTACATCAATCAAAGCTTTGTATGCATGAGGATGGGGTGGCTTCCTCTCATGAAAGGAGTTGGGAATAAACCATTTTCATCAAGATTTCAGGGTGCAGTGGTGCACACCTGTAATCATAGTTACTGTGGGTGGGGATGCTAAGGCAGAAGGATCCCAAGTTCAAAGCCAACCTGGGCAGCTTAGTAAGACTCTATCAAAATAAAAGACTGGTTGTAGCTTAGCGGTAACGTGCTTGTTTAATGTATGTGAAGCCCTGCAACCCCCAGTAATTAACTGAGGCTCAATCCCCAGTATTTGAAAAGAAAAAAAAAAGTAGGGTAGGGCAAAGTCTTTGCACTAGCACACACTTTCTAGGACAAATACAAAGTTCTAGTTTGTATTTTTTAGTTTCCTATTGGTCAAAGGAGTTTCTGTTGTTATCAAAGTACCACCAGTTTGCTGGAAGGAATCTGCTAAGAAGCTTGATTCAAAGGCCATGGGGGAAATGTGTTTTGATATCTATCTGTATCCTTCCTATACATCTTCATAGTAATACATTCTCTTAAAAGGACTTTTTCTTTTGTACTTAAATACAATTCTAATGATTATATGGAAGAAAAATAAGATAGGAACATCTAATAATAAAAAAAGAGTGAAGTACTAGATCTAGCATTGCTAGGTGTTAAAACATTAACTGTAGAATTAACAAATGCACAAAAGAAATATATGTGGCAGATCACAGTGCAAGCTACAAAACATACTTGAGGATATACCCAGATCATACAATAGGGAAAGATGTGGCCTAGTGAAGGTCTAATGTGGAGAAAAGGGGAATAGCCTCATAGGTACAACTGGAAGAGGGAGAGATACAGAAGCAGAGATACAAAGCAACAACAACAAACAAAAAACAAATATGAAGGTTTTAAAAAGGCTGAGCTCTAAAATCTAATTTATGCATTCTTCTAATTTTTACATCCTTGCGTGCTTTTGTTTTTATTCTTTCTGTTCTCTTCATGCTTGAGAAGATTTATAGGTCATGACTTGTTCTTTTTTTAATAAGAAAGTAGTTTTCCAGCCTTATTTCAGATTTTCTCATAGCCTTTTGCACTGATACACAGTTCTGTAGGCTTCTGTGTTAGTGTATTTGTCAAGTATGCAAAGAAGTGAATAACACTGTTTGCAATTTTGGAACCACTTGCATTCTGCTGAACTCTGGTCACTTATTTTCTCTTTGGACAAGAAATGAGTGGATATAGAGTCGAATGAATCTAGACCTTCTCCTGACAGGAAAGGACTCCCTGAGACCCACAAACCCATTTTGAGTTGTGTCTCATAAAGAACATGTTGATTTGCTTTAGGCAAACTTGATTGTAGCCTCCACTTGCTTTCTTCCAGGATAAAAGTCAGAATAAACTGTGCTCTTAGGGCACTTGGCTTGTTGCCTACACACTACTTCCACTTTTGGCCCCTACACTGAACATTATCAAACTTGACTATGTTTGAGAATCAACTATAGATGGTGCTAAAATATAGATGCACTGGCCTCATTCCTAGACTGGGATGAAACAGCCCAACTGGGATGAAACACAAAAATCTGTACTTTTCCCAAGCTCAACAGATTTGTGTGAACAGATTTAGAGACCACTGATGCAGAATCTTCAAGACTTCTCTTGGCCCTTCCATTCTCCCTACCAACCATAAATATTGATTAAACTTCTATTATATACCAGCACACCATTGGTACGAGGCTGCTGAAAATATACATATTCAGAACTAAACTGTAGTGCGATAGTGGGCTAATCAAAACTAAAAGCAATAATAATGTCAATTTTCCCTAAACTTATTTGTCAGCCTCAAGCAATTCCTATAACAATCCCAGTAGGTACTTTGTAGCCATAGACAACTTTATTCTGAAATTCATAAATTCTATTTTATTTTTAAAATATAATTTGCATTACATAAAGAAAAAAATATGTTCTGAAATTTATACAAAAAGGTACAAGCCTTAAAACAGCTATAGGAGTCTTGAAAAAAGTAGAAAAAAAGTAGGAGGAGCTAGGTGAGGGTGGTGCTTGCCTTTAATCCAGCTTCTAGGGAGGTTGAGACAGGAGGAGCAGGAGGATCCGGATTTCAAGGCCAGTCTGGGCAGCCAGGAAAAACCCATCCTCCACAAAAAAGTGGGAGGATGACTACACCCAAAATAAAGGCTTACTATATAGCTACAGTAATCAATACAGTATAGTTTTGGCAGGGGGAGAGATGCATAGAGTAAGATAGAATGGAGAACCCAGATATAGACCCATACAAATATGCCCAACTGATTTTTGACAAAAGAAGAATTTTGGAAGAATTTCAATGGAGAAAAAACCCAGTTTTTAAATAAATGGTGTTAGAATAACTGGACATCCATAGATACAAATAATAATAAAAAACATTGCTTTAAATCTCATGTCTTGTGCAAAAAATAAGTTGAAATTAATCATGGGCTTAAATGTTAATATAAAATATAAAAAATAATACTTTCAGAAAAAATAAAACATTTGAGATTGAAGCTTAGTCAAAGAGTTTTTAAACTTGGCACCAAAAGCATAATCCACAAAAGAAAAAAAACTAGACAAATTATTAGTCTTTTGCTCTGTAAAAGTCTGTTATTATAATGAAAGATAAGTTACAAATTCAAAGAAAGTATCTGTAAACCACACATCTCAAAATGGACTAGTGTCTAGGATATATAAAGAAATCTACAAACTCAACAATAATTAAAAAAAGAAAACAAACAAAAACTATTAGAAAAAAGGCAAAAAACAGTAGTAGACCTTTTATTATAGATAATATACAGATGACAAATAAACACATGAAACAATGTGGGGAAATTTAAACTGAAACTACAATAATATATCTTTACACATGGATGAGAATGATAAAATAAAGTAATGAGAACAACATCAAAAGGTGGTGAGAGTGTGGAGAAAGAGGATTGCTCAGATACTGCTAGTAGGAATGTAAAATAGTATATCCAATCTGGAAAACAGTTTGGTAGTGTCTTATAAAGCTAAAATGCAATTACCTTAAGACCCAGAAATTGCACATTGGCTGTTTATCCTGGAGAAATTAAAAATTCATAGTAAATTTATTTGTAATAGTCCCAAACCACGAACAACCCAAGTGTCCTCAACCAAGTGAATGGTTAAACAAATAATCCATATTAAAAGAATGAAATATTGACATGCACAATGACTTGGAAAGACTATTAAGGAATTAAGCTGAGTATAGCAAAAACTGATTCCACAAGGTAATATAAGTCTGATTCCATTTATATAAATTCTTAAAATGACAAAATTGCAGAAGCAGACACAGATTAGTGGTTACTAAAAACCAAGGAGGATATGGGAAGTGGGCAGAAGGGAGGGTAGGAAAATAATTATCAAAGGGCAAGAAGAAGGTGATAGTAATGTGTTGAGAGCTACGGCCCTGTCCAGCCAGATTGCGGCAGTAATGATCTGTGTGTTGATTGTGATTGTGTAGTAGGCTATTCACAATAGCCTCAAAGAAAATAAATATTTGAGAATCAATCTAATGAAAGAGGTGAAAACTATAGAACAATGAAAACTATAGAACACTGAAGAAAAAAAATTGAAGAAGACCTTAGAACATGAATCTGCTCATGTGATAAAACTGTATAGAATTTAACGTATACCACACTCCTTTTATTGAACTAGGACTTGAACCCAGAGGCATTTAACCACTGAACTACTTCCCCAGCCTTTTTTATTTTTTATTTTGAGACGGGTCTTGCTAGTTGCTTAGGGCCTTGCTAAATTGCTGAGAAGGGCCTCAAACTTGCCATTTCCCTGAATTACTAGGATTATAGGCATGCACCCACCATTAGGCTATGCACACACTCTTGAGCACAAATAAAACTGAGAAAATCTGAAAAAGATGAATGGATTGTTCATCTTATTGGTTGTGATACCAAATTTTACCTGAGGCCATAACTGGGGCAAAGTGTATAAAGGTATAGGGAATCATCTATATTATTTCTTCTAACTACATATGAATATACAATTATTTCAAAACAAAAAATGTTCACTTAGAAAAAGAAGAGGTCTTCTCAACTCTGTTTTAACCAAGCCATAGATGTTCCATATGATGATATGGTGGATTTTATAGAAAGCTACAGATCCACTGACCAAGAGCAAAAGTGCTCAGTTTTAGCAGCTGACTATATCTGAGTTGCCCACGATTCCTCAGTATCCTAGCAATACACTTGGTGCCATCATGTGATACTTGTAGTATTATGTTTCACAAACATTTATTGAGTACTTACTGTTTATCAGTCTGCAGGCCAGGCCTAGGGGATAGAGATGGACATGAATGGGAATTGACATCTCAGGGCCTGCTTCCGTGGAGGAGGTAAAATACAAACATATGAAGTAGTACTATAGTTAGAGAATTTGATACCCAAGTATGTCAATGTTGCTATAGAAATAAATGTTGTATAAACAAAAGAGAATGGCTTTTCTTCTTCTTCTTTTTTTTTTTTTTTGCCCTACAAGCAATAATAATCCTGATTGAGAGGAAGGTCTTGGATTGAGTAGCAAAGCATTCCTCTGAGTGGAAGGTTATGTTAAAAGGGATTGGCAAATTGAATCAGAGGACATAGAAAACTTAAATAGATTGATTTCGAACAATGAAATTGAAGACTCTATCAGAAGCCCACCAGCAAAGAAAAGCCCAGGACCAGCTGGTTCTCAGCTGAGTTCTATCTATTCAAAGAAGAATTAACACCATCCTCCTCAAATTATTCCATGAAATAGAAAAGGTGGGAATCCTTCCCAACTTATTCTATGAACTTAGTATCAACCTGATACCAAAGTCAGATAAAAAACACATCAAGGAAAGAAAATTTCAGCTCAATATTCCTGATGAATATATATGTAAATATTCTTAATAAAATCCTGGCAAGTTGTATAAAAAATATATTAAAAAGATAGTGTACCACGATCAAGTGGGGTTCATCCCAAGGATGCAAGTTTGGTTCAATATACAGAAATCAATAAATGTAATTCCTCATGTCAATAGACTTAAAGACAAGAATCCCATGATTATCTCAATAGGTGCAGAAAAAACACTTGACAATTTACAGCATCTATTCATGTTCAAAACACTAGAAAATCTATGGATATTAGGAACATATCTCAACATTGTAAAAGCTATATATGCTAAACCCAAGGCCAACATCATTTTAAATGGAGAAAAATCAAAAGCATTCCCTCTTAGTAACTGGAATAGGGCAGGGATGCCCTCTTTTACCACATCTATTTGACAAAGTCCTGGAAACTCTAACCACAGCAATTACACAGGGAAAGAAATTAAAGGGATACAGATAGGAAAAGAAGAGCTCAAACTATCCCTATTTGCCTACAATATGATTCTATATTGAGAAAACCCAAAAGACTCCACAAGAACATTTCTAGAACTCATGAATTATTTCAGCAAAGTAACAGGATATAAAATTAACCCCCATAAATCAAATGCATTTTTATACATTAGCGATGAATCAACTGAAAGAGAAATTAAAAAACAATATTTTCTAATTTCACAATAGCCTTAAAGAAAATAAATATTTGAGAATCAATCTAATGAAAGAGGTGAAAGACCTCTGCAATGAAAACTATAGAACATTGAAGAAAAATAAAAAATTGAAGACCTTAGAAG